ATAGTCAATACAAACAGGCTGGCAGAGAAAAGAGAGAGAGTATAGTCAATACAAACAGGCTGGCAGAGAAAAGAGAGTGTAGTCAATACAAACAGGCTGGCAGAGAAAAGAGAGTGTAGTCAATACAAACAGGCTGGCAGAGAAAAGAGAGAGAGTATAGTCAATACAAACAGGCTGGCAGAGAAAAGAGAGAGTATAGTCAATACAAACAGGCTGGCAGAGAAAAGACGGAGTATAGTCGATACAATCAGGCTGGCAGAGAGAAAAGCGAGAGAGAGAGAGAAAGAGAGTAGTCAATACAATCAGGCTGGCAGGGAAAAAGGACAGAGTATAGTCTATAAAATCAGGCTGGCAGAGAGAAAAGCGATAGAGAGATGGAGAGAGAGTATTGTCAAAACAATCAGACAATCAGGGAGAAGAGACGGAGTCGATACAGTCAGGCTGGCGGGGAGGAGACAGAAAGAGTCGATACAGTCAGGCTGGCGGGGAGGAGACAGAAAGAGTCGATACAGTCAGGCTGGCAGGGAGGAGACAGAAAGAGTCGATACAGTCAGGCTGGCAGGGAGAAGAGACGGAGTCGATACAGTCAGGCTGGCGGGGAGGAGACAGAAAGAGTCCATACAGTCAGGCTGGCAGGGAGGAGACAGAAAGAGTCGATACAGTCAGGCTGGCGGGGAGGAGACAGAAAGAGTCGATACAGTCAGGCTGGCAGGGAGGAGACAGAAAGAGTCGATACAGTCAGGCTGGCAGGGAGGAGACAGAAAGAGTCGATACAGTCAGGCTGGCAGGGAGGAGACAGAAAGAGTCGATACAGTCAGGCTGGCAGAGAGGAAGAGAGAGAGAGAGAGAGAGAGAGAGAGAGAGAGAGAGAGAGAGAGAGAGAGAGAGAGAGTCGATAGTCAGGCTGGCAGGGAGGAGACAGAAAGAGTCGATACAGTCAGGCTGGCAGGGAGGAGACAGAAAGAGTCGATACAGTCAGGCTGGCAGGGAGGAGACAGAAAGAGTCGATACAGTCAGGCTGGCAGGGAGGAAAGAGAGAGAGAGAGAGAGAGAGAGAGAGAGAGAGAGAGAGAGAGAGAGAGAGTCGATAGTCAGGCTGGCAGGGAGGAGACAGAAAGAGTCGATACAGTCAGGCTGGCAGGGAGGAGACAGAAAGAGTCGATACAGTCAGGCTGGCAGGGAGGAGACAGAAAGAGTCGATACAGTCAGGCTGGCAGGGAGGAAAGAGAGAGAGAGAGAGAGAGAGAGAGAGAGAGAGAGAGAGAGAGAGAGAGAGAGAGAGAGAGTCGATAGTCAGGCTGGCAGGGAGGAGACAGAAAGAGTAGATACAGTCAGGCTGGCAGGGAGGAAAGAGAGAGAGAGAGAGAGAGAGAGAGAGTCGATAGTCAGGCTGGCAGGGAGGAGAAGAGAAGTGTCAATACAGCCAGACAGGAAGAAGAAGTCGACTAGATACAGACATGTAGGAGATGGAATATAATTAAAGTAAACAGACAAGAGGAAGAAGGAATATAATCGATAATAGGCAGGGAGGAATGTCGAAGAAAACTATCAGGCAGGGAATACAGAGAATCGATTGAGGGGGGAAAATGAGAGAGAAAGTGAGACAGAGACAGAGGAATAATTATTTTGTGTTGTAACACACCTACCTATCAGATAGCAGGACCCAGCATCAGCGCAGACTGGCGTTCCTAAAAAAAAAAAGCATTTAGGCGACCTAAACTAGGCAATCAGCGATGAACAATGTGGATTTGTAGAAGGAAAAGGTACAAAAATGCCATTTACATCCTAAGTACATTGTCAGAAAGAGCTATAGAAGTAAAGATTGATTTGTACTTATGCTTCATAGACTATACAAAAGCATTTGACTGTGTGAAGCATGAAGAAGTAATCAAACTGTTAGAAAAATCTACGAATAATAAAGAATATGTATTGGCAGCAAACAGCAGCTATAAGAATAAACAAGTGTTTAGGTACATTTCAAAGCATAAAGAGGGGCGAACGACAAGGATGTGTACTGTCACCTGATTTGTTTTCAATATACAGTGAATATATAATGAGATCTTTCATTGATATGCCCGGAATTGTGGTTGGTGGGCACAATATAAACAATTTACGTTATGCTGATGACACAGTCTTGATAGCAACAAGTCAGAAAGAATTACAGGAAATGATAGACATTGTAGTGTTAGAAAGTGGAAGAATGGGCCTCAGTTTGAATAATGGGAAGACAGAAGTAATGGTGGTATCAAAGAAACAAATTATTCCTAAATGTGTAATAAAAGTCAGTAGTGTTATTTTAGGACAAGTACAGAAATTTAAGTATCTGGGCACATGGATAACAGATGGAAGATGCATAACTGAAATAAGAAACAGAATTGGACAGGCAAAAACTGCATTTTATAAAATGAAAAACATCTTGTGCAATATATCCTTGTCATTGAGAGTGCTTTAATACATCCAGTTTTAACATATGGATGTGAATCCTGGACAATCGGTAGGCAGGCCAAACAATTTTTAGAGGCCTCAGAGATGTGGTTTTACAGAAGAATGCTTAGAATACCTTGGGCAGCCAAAAAAAAGCAACCAAAAGGTTTTGAAAGAGGCGGGAGCCCGAAGACAACTTATCACAGACATCAGAAGAAGACAGTCATCATTTTTCGGCCATGTTATGAGAAGAGGGAAACTATAACATGTTGTGACCACTGGAAAGATCTGTGGAAAAAGGGATAGAGGAAGACAACGAGAAAAGATGCTTGACAGTCTTGTTGCATGACATGGAGGTGTGTCGGCACACGAACTGATACATGCTGCAGGAGATTGCAGATTATGGAGAGGCATGATCGCCCACGCCAGTCGGCAAGGCACCTGATGATGATGAAACCAGGCAACATTCTATGCAATCGTTACTTGTAAACTGAGGTAGTAAAGTAAGTAAAGATTGTTTTTCACTCCTTAATCGTATCTGGTATATAGGAAGAGCACCCCCATATTTTTACAGACCATCGGCACTAGGTGGGTAATGTGGTCAGCATTACGCCGGCAGTCTTTACTTCCCCAGGACAGACATCCTGGTACCTATGTTAAGCTGGGTCGACCTGCGACGTCCCGACCATGATAGAAATCCACGCAGCCAGCAGTGGGTTTCGATCGCGGTACGTTGGAATTTGTCAACTAAGGTGATAAACAGAATTCATCAAATAAATAAAAGAAGTGAACGAACGAACAAATGAACTTTATTTTCAAAGGGTCACAAATTGGGCATGCAGGCCCGTCCTACATTCGGCCCTTCCAAACGCTCATCTTTCACACAGCAGTTGTATTCTATCAATAAAGCAGGTTATGTTCGTGTAATAATATTTATACAATGAATATTAAGCAAAAACAAATGTAAACCATGGGCAGTTGGCTGTTTAGTGAAAAATTATGTGGAAGCGGCGGAACATGGGTTTATAGATGAATGATGAGTATAGTCAATACAATCAGGCTGGCAGAGAAAAGAGAGAGTATAGTCAATGACAGATGACAAAAGCAATGAAGATGAGACAAGAAGAGGACTGATTGCCCACGTTAAAGGGAGACAATTTACATTCTTTGGGCATGTCCTGGGAAGGTGGCAATGGGGGTACTCTGCGACGGTGGGAAATTGGAGGGGAGAAGAGGCACAGGGAGACTGTGGAAGAGGATACTGAACAGTTTGACAATAGGACATGGAAAATCATTGAGGTCATAAATGATTGACAACACATGAGACAAATGGTTGTGAATAGACATGACTACCAACGACATACGGCCTGGACTAGAAGAAGCATCCATGAGAAATTAGGAGTAACACTTACATGGTTAATATCCAGTTTCGTCCTTTTTAGGACGAAATTTTTTGTTATTTGAAGCCCCACCCTGGCTTTTGCCAGGGGCTACAATATAGGCAGGCCATAAATATGGCCAATTGTCTGAACGCTGTTTCTGGGACTTTGTGTCATCGGGTGTTTATCGCTTGTGTGATGTCCTGGTGGGATAGAAAGTCAGTCAGTCAGTCCCCCCATTTCCCAAGAGACAGAAAAAAAGGGAGGGGGGTGGTGGGGGTATCAGCACATTAAAAACTACAACTAGTAAAACCCATTTCCAGAAATGAAAAAAACAAAAAAAAACATCAAGAAAATAAATTTATTTCTTTTTGAGTAATGTTAACATTAGACCCAATTTACACAGTAAATTTAAGATCTGTCACTACAAACATGTTTTGTAAGAGATGTAATGAAAATGGCCACCTCATGTCATGTCAAATCAATCAACTTGTTCTGGGTAATTAAGGATACTCCAATCATTGTACCACTGGAGCTCATTACATCATCATCATGTATATGTCACATAGTGCTTGCAGTCAAGTCCTCCAGTGCATTCTGTCCTGTACAATTCTTTCTACCTCATGGTTAGAAACCAGCCCAGTACTTTTCTGGTGCATGTTGAAAGTGGGGTAGCTATCATTAAACTGTAATGTCACGTGCTTAAAAGTTTCGACATCCATAACAATACTGACAGGTTGCAAGACAATGGCATGGTTACCTTAATTTATTTCAGGCTTTCAGGTTTTCATCTGAGGCCCCCATGTATAAACAGCCATGGCTAGATAAGATGTTTGCAGATCGGCATAAAGAGCGTGGGTGTGGTGTTTTACTTTATTATTTTTTTTACATTGGGTGGATTTTAAAAACAAACTGGTCTCGGCTTCTAGGTCAACCAAGCTTAAAATGGGCACTAGAAATAGTCCTGTGATGTAAAAGCAGCAAGCATGATGATGATGACCATATCATCCAATGTCGTTAAAAATGTAAGTCTAACACAATGTTCTCAATGGGTCTTTTTACTTAATTACAATCAACAGCTGTACTATCAAGACTTCTCAGTTATAAACAAACCAACATTTTCATGAAAACAAATTTTCTTATCATCAAACCATGAACAAACTAAATATCAATGAAAAGCAAACATATTTTAGAAGGTCAAAGTTCATATTTCCGGCTTAACGACAAAATATCGTTTTGAGGTCGAGAACCACTTTTCGATAAATGCTCCATCAAACTGCGCACCACTGGGAAAAAAATGAAAACAGCATATAAATTTAAATCTCAATTTCAGTGCGAACACTTTTCAAAATATTGGCACACTCATATACAGATTAGCATCAGTATGTAGAGATTTCATAGTTCTTGTGTGAACATGCACATTCTAGCATGAATATGTAGATGTTTCAAAATTGTAACACAAATATGTATTTTCATGGTTCTAAACTGAATATAGGATATGTGCACGTATGACAATAATTTAGCAAATATGGCAAAAACATCATGCGTTGTCCTGTAAGCGAACACCGTCACATTTCGCCAGCTCACACAAACACCAGAATCACAGATCAGTTTAATATTTTTGTCTCACCCCATCCATCTGCAAAGGTCATCCAGGTATTTATCTCTTTGCCTTCCCCTTACTATCTTTCCATCAACCTTGTCAGTTGTTACCTCGATCTTAAGTCCACTCCTCACAATATATCCAAAAATATCTGACTGTGTAACTGTTCTAATAATTTTTATGTCTGGATGAGGACTGCATCGCTTGTTTTCTATTCTTCCATGATATTCTTTGCACTCTTCTCACAAACCCCATCTCTACTGCAGGCAGATGTTTTTCTGCATGTCTGCCATATTGTCCATGTTCCACATTCACATAACAATACAGGTTATACATAACACATTAACATTTCTTTCTCACTGGAAGTGACATTTTCTTACTGGTGAAAATCATCTGCATCTTGATAGAGGCCACCTTTGCATGGTGATTCTTGTTCTAATTTCGGCAAGGAATCTTGATTCAGACTGTTCCCAAATAGTTGTATCTATTAACCTGCCTAAGACTTCTGCCGTTTGCACCTTGCTATTTCTTCCATGGTGATGACAAATAATTTCCATTTAAAATTTAACTCCAAGCCTAGTTTCTCACTGTAAACTATTACTGCATCCACTGAGCACCGCAGAACTTCTTCACTGTCTGCAATTAATACCCTATTGCCTGAATATCTTCATTTGCTTATGTTACATCCTTCCACATTAATTCCCTTCAGGTCTTTCATATAGCATCAGGGGTTGGACTGCAGTTACACAGAGAAATATTCTACTGCATGTAGATATATCTTACCTTGCTTATGTTACATCCTTCCACATTAATTCCCTTCAGGTCTTTCATATGGCATCAGGGGTTGGACTGCAGTTACACAGAGAAATAGTCTACTGCATGTAGATATATCTTACCTTGCTTATGTTACATCCTTCCACATTAATTCCCTTCAGGTCTTTCATATGGCATCAGGGGTTGGACTGCAGTTACACAGAGAAATATTCTACTGCATGTAGATATATCTTACCTTGCTTATGTTACATCCTTCCACATTAATTCCCTTCAGGTCTTTCATATGGCATCAGGGGTTGGACTGCAGTTACACAGAGAAATAGTCTACTGCATGTAGACATATCTTACCTTGCTTATCACTCTGGGACAAAAACATGGTGGTCATGGAAAACCTCTTGACCATGGAAAGCTGGGTCAGTATTTCATACAAATCCTGGCTACATCTGACAAGTAGAAAATACCAACAGGCAAGATATCAAACTGATGATTTCTGTATGTATCCATAAAGGTTGTGTTTCCAAGTGATTACATTTTGCAGGCAGGATAAACTAGAAATACAATGTTACAGACTGGCTTGTTTTAAACTGGCTAATAACAGATTGCAATGGCTCTCTTGGCACTAATTCATGCAGTCTTCTCAGACACACTGACCAGTACTTCAACACATCATACTTGAAATATGAACACATGTTGAGAAACAGAACAGCTGATGACAACTGGCGTTTATTATCTCTGTTATATTATCCGAATAAATAAAACATTTCCAACAATTGACACGTCAAGTCTCACTAAGCTGCCTTCACAACCACTCCCACGGACAGCAGAAAAGGTTCAGCCATTGCAAGATGTCAGGCTAAACAAGACGGCCATGTTTTCTCAAGACCTACAGTTGATGCTTGATTAGATAATGACTTGCTTGTAGATTCACTCGACTTTCACTCCTCCTGCACTACTACAACACTATCCTGCAATCAAAAACAAGACTAAACTATCTCATTATCTCATGGCTTAAAAAGCTTCTTTCCCTTCCTCATAAATTTCCAGACTGTTCTTAAGTATTAGTGTTTTCTTTGCTTGGCATGCTTTTGGCCAAACTCCACAAAGCTCATGTTTGCCTCATTTGACATTAGATTTGTTCACACATACATTATTCTCAAAACTACCCATTTGGAATAATTTATGCTAATGAGATACTTCACTCAAATTCCAAATTAAACATTTTCTAAATAAGTTTAAAACTGACAAACACACAGTTATACTGAAATCATTTTGCCACACACACAAAAGCAGCCTACCTGGACAAATTTGCAGCCAGTGATTTTAAAACAGCCATTAGCATGTCTGCATCTAGGCTGTGACCAAACAGTTTGGTATAGTGTGATGGAGGAATAGCCTAGAAAACAAAAACAGACAACAATAAAGAAGAGTTATATGAGTTATGAATCAACATCACAGCACTCAGGACATTCCCATAAGCACTCTGTTCCCATCTTCAGCAGCAAGTGTAGTGTTCCAATTCAAATGATACCACTAACAGTCTGATTGTATGTCTGTCTCACCTCTCCCCTGAGTGCTGAGCATCAGCCAGATCCCCTGTTCACTCCTGGTTGCGCTATTCTCTTTCGACTATGATTATCTATCTGTGTCTCTGCACTGTTTAATCCCTCCCAAAGAGTCGGTACAATATCCAGCTTGTCACCCTTCAACTTACCATGAAGTGGTGCAAAACCAGCTAATCTATCAGGCTGTTCATTTCCCAAAACACTTGCATACCCAGAGAAAAATATCCAAAGGACGCTAACTACCAGGGACCTCTGAAGGGATGCTCGAAGAAGACAAGAGAACAAAAGAAAGAAAAGAAATGCAGAAAAAGAGAAAAGAGATTGTGTGTATGTACCAAGGACAGAAATAGCAATGAGGCACCCCCCACCCCCCCCCCCCCCCAAATGCATGTGTGTAGATGCGTACACGACTGATGGAACTGCCAAGGGATTTTTAACATGTATAAAATGTTTGAGAGTCCTCTTTATGGTGTGTTACTTATCTAAAGAAAATGAGCCCTCAGGTTTATTACCTTACGACACACGAGTTATGTTATACAATTTTTAATGGTTACATTGTACCTCACAGATGGATTTCTTCTGCTGATCAAACTAGTAATATCTGAACTGAACTGAATTTCTACCCCACCAGGACATCACCTGATGACACAAAGTGCCACCATGTGGATGAGGATCGCCGTGGAGAGGTCCCAGAAACCGCGTTTAGACATTTGGCCATATATATGGCCTGCCTATATTGCGGCCCCTGGCAAAAGCCAGAGTAGGTCTTCAAATGACAAAAAATTTCGTCCTAAAAAGGACGAAATTGGATGAGTAATATCTACAACTCTAAAACTCTATAAACTGTTACACATCACTCTAAATGGCTCATTTCATGCTGTGGTCAGAGCACTTGCCTTCCAAGACAGTGGTCTGAGTTCAATTCACAGCAAAACATTATTATATTTCCTTACCTAGGGCTTATAATAATTGAAGACCCACAATCTCGCACTACAATGGCAGTTTCTACTAGATGGCTATCCTTCCTACAGACTCTAAATCAGTGAACCTGATCAGCTCCCTTACTACAGACTCAAAAACAGTGACCCCAATTAGCTCCCTTACAACAGACTCTAAATCAGTGATTCCAATTAGCTAAGACCTGCTGACTCTTTTTTCAAATGTCTGCCAGACTCCCATACTTTTTAACAGGCATATTGAAGAACTTATAATTTATAAATATTCATTTCTTATCCTATTGAGTCAATATATATATATATTAAGGGTTCACTGTCTACTTCTCCATTCTGTTCTATCCTCTGCAGTCACTTCGATATCATAAGTGGAATCCAGTCCAGCAGCTTTGGCTTCTCTTGTCAGTGTTCACTTTAGGGTTGCTCTTGGACATCCTTGTTGCCTCAATCCCTCTATTTCCTATTTCAGTGCCTGCCTGGTGATTCTCTGTTCATCTCTTCTCATAATGTGTCCAATATAACGCCATCTTCTTTGTCTTATAACTGTTGATTCAAGTGGTTGTCCAGACATTTCTCTTATTTTTTTCACTCCTCTTAAATTCATCCCATTTTATCTTCATAACTTTTCTCAGGCATTTGTTTTCAAAGCACTTAACTTTCTTTTCATGTCCTAAGTGGTTCTCTAACTTTCACTGGCACATGTTAACGCTGAATTAACATTAGCATTAACAAAACGTAATTTGGTTACAGTTTTAAATTTAAAACTGTATAATTTTGAGTCCCATATTTTGTTCAAGCTTTTAAAAGCTGGTGATGTTTTCTTGCCAGTGGATGCAATAATTTCTTTCTTTGTGTTTCTTTGATTATCAACATGACTACCTAAATAAGTAAATTGATTTCTCACTTTGATTCTTTTTGTCTCTAGTGTCACATTTGCTTGATCTATTATTGGTGCTTCCATATATTTGTCTTTTTAATAACTTATTTTTATTCCAACTTATAATAAATATCAGAATCACAAAGGGATTGAACTTTTAAAAAAATGGAATACCTACCCCTTTGTATTTGTTCCGCGGAACACGAAATGGGAAACAATGCTCTAAATGGTTACATTAGAGCGTTTGCGTTGAAAATGGTAAAACTACACCTATGAAACTAACCTGGAAATACTCGAAGAATGCTTCAGGTTTATTTTTCAACAGCCGAAAGTCTGTCTGAAACTGGAAGGATGTCTGTGGAATGCTGATACCCTCACTTGGTAGGCTAGTGCCGTTTCTTTCAGTCTCAATCCTTGATGGTGCCTTCCTCTGATTATTACCAGATCCTGAATCTGGAGACTGATGACTATCTGGATTGGAAGCAGCATTCCATGAGGGTCTTTTCTGAGCTTTTAAAACATTTGAAGGAATGGTGGATGTAAGGACTTCTTGATGCTCAGTCCTTGTTTCAACAGAAGGCAGACTAATATCTTGTTGGTCTTGGCTCCTCAAATCTCTAGGTTCCACATTCACAGGCTGGATTCTTTCATTTGCAAAAGTAGGCATCAAATTACTCTCAACTGCAATGGAAGAACTGTGTGGTGCCTGCTGAGGGGCATTTTGTGATACCAGCTTTTCAAAGTTCTCTTGCTCTTGAACAGAAACTTTCTTGGCTGTGGCACCATATGCCAGGTCTGGATGATACTGCTGGCCGGTGGATTCTATACCAATCTCTTCAATGTGAATCCTCTTTAAAGGTGCCTGTCATAGAACAAGGGAAACAAGAAGATTAATATACTATCAAAAAATTAGGTTCAAGGATTTTTGGGAAAAAGAAGTGTTGCCTGATGACTGGACTGAAGGAACAATAGTCAAAATCCCCAAAAAAGGAGACTTAACAGACTGCAATAATTGGAGGGGAATAACTCTACTCTCAATACCAAGCAAAATATTTTGTAAAATCATAATGCGGCTTGAAAAAGGAGTAGATAAATGCCTACGAGTGGAATAAGCAGGATTCAGAAAGGGCAGAGGAACAACTGAGCACATCTTCGCCATACGTAACATTTTAGAACAATGCAACGAATGGCAGAGAAGTATATATATATTAATTTTGTGGACTTTGAGAAAGCTTTTGACAGCGTCCATAGAGACGGTCTGTGGACAATTTTACGACATTATGGAATTCCAGAAAAAATAGTCAACATAATTGCTCTCTTCTATAAAGACTTTTCCTGCAGTATAAACAATTACAATACATCTTTCCCAGTAAAGACAGGTGTAAGACAGGAATGTGTTATGTCATCTCTCCTCTTCAACCTTGTGATTGATTGGATACTAAAGAACACAGGACATTAAGAGGCATACGATGGACTCCATCACCATGCTTGAGGACCTTGATTTTGCAGATGATATAGCACTCCTATCACATAAACATGAACATATACAAGAGAAAAGTAACCTAAACCGCACAGCAGAAATGGTGGGACTGAGAATAAATACAAAGAAAACTAAGATCATGACAAACAGTCCAAACCACCAACCAGTGACCATAAGTAACCAATCACTTGAAAATGTAGAATATTTCACATATCTTGGCAGTTTGGTGTCCCTACTGGGAGGGACAGAGGAAGACATAGTCACGTCTGAACAAAGCTAGAGCTGCTTTTGGAAGGATGAGGCAAATCTGGAAATCCAACAATTACTGCAGAGGAACGAAACTCCGACTCTACAAGAGCATCATTTTGCCAGTTCTTCTTTATGGAGCGGAATGCTGGAGAATGACCAAAAAGGATGCACACAAGCTGTCCACCTTCCACCACACATGTCTATGTAGAATTATCAAAATTGTCTGGCCAGATACAATCTCAAACACTAAACTACTTCAAGTCACAAACCAAGAAACTCTAGACAGTATGATTACCAAGAGAAGATGGAAATGGCTTGGCCACGTTATGAGAATGACTTCTGATAAACCTGCCAAAACAGCTCTCACATGGACACCAGAGGGAAAGAGAAAACAGGGGCGCCCAAAAACAACATGGAGACGAACAATGGAAAGTGACCTAAGTGCGGCATCTTTGACATGGAAAACTGCACTGAAGATTGCACAGGACAGGAAAGCATGGAAAGTCCTCTCTGAAGCCTCATGTGCCCCGAGAACTGATGAATAAATTAGGTACTAATTTACTGGGCATACCATAAGGAGAAGCAAGTGCAGAATTATTCAAGAGGCACTGAAATGGGAAATAAATGGGCAGAGGAAACTAGGACGTCTAGGAGAAACCCTAAGACAAATGTTGTTAAGAGAGGCCAAAGGCGTTGGAAAGGATTCCAATCATGATACTGATAGGATTGAAGAATATTTATTGTTCATTCACTCGCTGATTCTTTGCCTAGGACATGGTGAGGCATAAACATAGTTTAGGTGTATAATACATGGAATAAAGTCAACGTTAACTTCGGACAAATACACATATGTCCATGTAAACAACGGCAGCTGAAAATGACAACTTTCCTTGACAAGAAAACACAAACACGTTTAGCGCTGACTGTGTTCGCCAGTTCTAGCTGAAGGCCAGGTTGGGCAGTGAAACTCACAAACACATCGGATGCAGGCTTTCATTTTTAACTTGATACAAACACTTTCTCCACTCCACAGGCGCACAGTTCCTTGACCCAGACAAGAATGCCTGCTAGATCTTTCTAGGGCATTAAATGACTCACTACACAGGAGGGAACAGAGCAGAGGACTAGATAGTGAGACTGATGAGACATATGATGCTATGACAGTATGGTAGTGATGACAGTAAGTGGGAGTCCCAGCAGCATAGTGGCTAGATCTTGCTTGCCAGCCCAAAGATCTTGAGTTCAACTCTGCATCAAAGCAAATTTTTCTCAGAACTGATCTTCACTCCCAGGACGATCCAGCCTTTAATGAGTACAAAGTAATAACCTGGAAAATCAAAACGGTCGGCGTGATATTTACCACGAAACCCACTGAATGCTGATTGGTCTAGTAACATTTGCCTGTCGCGCCACTGGCCTTCCCTTTTTAATCACTCTGGGTGTTGAGGGTTCTAGTTCCTGCTCTTCTGGCCGCCTTAAAAAAAGACGACCGGCATGCTGTGCTGTGGTTTTTACAGCTGGGCTGTAATATCCGCACCTTTTGGCCATATGCATAAACTTTCAGTGATTTCTAATTTATCAGTGTACGACAGACTTGTTAAGGAGCAACGGGTCTATTTTTTGTGTGCATGCGTGCGTCAAAAATTGAGCCTTGGAACTGACACAGGGCGTAATGAAATCTTATAAAAGATCCTGAGCTAAATGTTTTTCAAAATACTGATTTGGATAAAGAACAATCTATATTCACCTTTGACCTTTCTTCTGGTTGTTTATAAACTGGTTTGACAATTCCTTTCCCTTGCTCTGTCAATGTCGATAAGACAGGGACTTCTTTCTCCCTTTTGATTTCCTATGAAAAAGAAAGAGGCAAGGTAGAGACATTAAATGTTGCATCAAACTAACTGTTACATGTTCAGCATAAAACTCATTATTTATTTACTGATTGTTAATCGTCATTATCACAGTATACAGGGTATTCAAAACAACACTGCCCTAAATAATGCAGATACAAACAAAACACGGCACAATATACCAACTGGTATATATCACTGTATTTCGTCAGGTCCGTTAGTACAGAGTTACATCGACATATAAAGAAGCACTCAAAATAAATTCTTTTAAACTGAAATACAGAAATCACAATGTCTCTGCATACAACAAGATCATGTGGTGATCATAATGGAAATGATGTGGTAATCATGTAGTTAATCTTAAATGTCTGGTGGTGACTAGAGACTGTGTGATCTGTCTATTCCAGTGGAAAGAATCCATTCTGCCGTGCTTCATTATGTGTCAAAGTAACACAGGGTATACCCATGGGTGCTTCATTCCCAACAGTAAATGTTGAAGTGTGTGGATGCTAACCATTCCAGTAGCAAACTACTGTAAACATATTACACTGTTTATCTCATATGTTCCTCATTGTTAGACATATACTTAACCAGAGTATGACAGTGAGACTGATGGATGGGAAGAGAGGCAGAGGCAGACCACAAAGAAGATGCTGCATAGCTTGGCATTAGGGGGAAAAAACATCTATATCATAAATAATAATCAGCACAGAAGACAAGGCTCACACAAGCATGACTACTAATACCATAAAGAAAAGACAATAAGAAGGAATATATAAAAAGTCCTTTCACTTCACTCAGTTCTTCTTTTTCAGCATATCACTCATCTTCAGTTATCTCTGTGATTGGCTTTTTTATTCCATCTGCTGACCGCAAGCGTTTTTATATATATGCTAATACAGTATCTCTCCACCGTCCTCTTGGTCTGCCACTGGTCTACTCCCATACAACTCTTCTGTGTATGCATTTTTTGGCTCTCTGTTATCTGCCAGCTCTCTATATGCCCCAACCATTGCAGTCTATTAGCATAACCCCCCCCCCCCCTTCCGCCCCCCATGATGCCAGTAATTATTGGCGATTCAAACAGATTATAAATGTTGCTGTTTCTCATTCTTCATTCTCTGCATCCAAGATGGGTCCAAGGATTCACCACAAGACTGTTCTCAAAAGTGTGTAATAATACTCTCCATTTTAGATCCTATATATGGGACAACTAGTCTTATCAATGTTTTATACATTTTGACCTTGCCGTTACAAGAAGTGCATCTGATTTTAGCAGATATCGTAGGGCATATATACCTTATTTCCAGAGTTTAAGAATGTACCCTAGCCCTTATGTGTTCTTTTGATTTTCACACACAAAATTTTACAATGAAATATACCACTGGGTTACTGTCACATGTTATCAAGCCAGATGCAGCTGAACCCAAGTAAAACACAGCAGAAGGTTCTCAAGAACTTGGAGGTCCTCAGAGATCCGAACATAGGATCTCCAAAAAAAAAAACTGATAGCCGGCTGAATGCTTGGCGCTTTGAAACGTTATGTTTCCAGCTAGGTTTTGCTGATGCAAATTTCCCACTTCTAGACAGGGAGTTTAAAGGTTCTGTCACCCAACTACTGAGATAAGTGCTTGGTACAACACTCTAAGCTGTGGATTTTATGTGAAATGTTTTTTCTGTTGTGCCTACAGCATGTTACTGACTGCAGTAAAATGGCAGGTGGCTGATTACATTCAGAATGGTGTGCACTTTTGCAGGTTCAATGTTAGCTTTCAAGTTTGACCATTTGTGCCAAAAGTAAGCTGCACTTCTTGTGTGAGACCATTTAATGTTGTCACAACAGCTGCCTTATGCACTTTTACTTTGCATGCACAAGCTTCAAGAGATTGCTGGGACTGACAGGTTTTCACTACTTTTCATACAGGACAGTGAAAGACATTTTGAATGAATTCCAACAATTTTTGTTTCCATAAACAAGACAACAAGTTTAACGCAACGAAACAATATGTTTAATACAACACATCCGGATGGTATCGGTGCTAGAAATGCTAGCTCTATCCAGTATTCAGGACCCTGTTTTGCCACTTGATTTTCAGTACTTTTCTTAGACTGTACAGAAGTGGCTGAGATTCTTTGCATGACATCTGCTTGTTTCACAAGCATACAGCAGTGCTAAGCACTGCACCTCTGTGTACCGACAGTTTGGTTTGCAGACTGATACCACTTCGATGCCAAACACTGGTGTATAGTCTGCCAAAATACTCAGCTGGCTTTAAAGATCCTGGTGTTTACCTCATCGTCGATGGTGACATTTTGAGATAGTTTACTACTGAGGTACATGAATCTATGCGCAATTCTCAACTTCCTGCTATTTACTAAAATGGTTGGCTCAGTATACGATTTGCTTGGTGCCAGTTGGTACATTTTTTATGTTTTCTCTGTGCTGATGGTAAGTTTGCACAAGCCACAGAGAATCTGTCCATGTTATACCGCAGATCCGTTTCCGAACAAGCATTAAGTGTGCAGTCGTCAGGGAACATAAGATCCCTAAAAATACATGATTTAACTTTGGTTTTCACTTTGAGCTGCCTAAGGGTGAAGAGTTTTCCATCAACAATATTTTAACACAAGACAAAATGTTTAACAAAATAAGACAATATAAGATCCCCATGACCCACACTTGCCTTCTGCAGTCTCTCAACTTCTGACTTAGCCTGCTTATTGCTAGGCTCCAAGCCTAACACATGGCTGTAGTCTGACATAGCCTGGTCAAACTTCCCCAGACTTGCCCTGGCAGATGCTCGTCGAAGGTATGCCTTCACATAAAGTGGGTCTAAAGAAATTGACACTGTACAGTCCAGCTCAGCAGCTGCAAATCTGGAATGTGGGGGAAAGATGAACATTTTTATTTTATTGTGCATGCAATGGCAAGGCAACGGCTTTTAAAAGCCTGAACACGAAAGAAATGAAACTCTAAATTATAGTTTTAAAACCAAGTTTCTTATTTTTTAATTTTTTTTATAGGATTACTAGCAGTATGGTGATGGCGGTGTCAGGAGCTTTCAAGTGGCAGGGATTATAGGGCTTTCCCATGTGTGCTTCAAGTTATTTCATGAGCATAATTTGGCGAGTCAAGGCAGGCCTTGTACTCAGACAGTAGACTCCTCCGAAGTCGGAGTACATCTGCCGGAGAGGCGGGGAACGAGAACTGCGAACAAATAAGCTAGTAAAACGGATGTACACGCAAAACTCAGGTCAAGGAAAAAGCCAAAAGTCCATTTTGGACGAACAACCGCGACTTACCGCCGGAATTCACAGCCGGTAAACAAGAAGAAGAAGAAGACAGTAGACTGAGTCACTGTGAAACTCTAATGTGCATGGAGTTACTGTCATCTTTGTCTCAGAGAGTTGTTGGTAATGAAAGAGCTGATAATAGACAGTCTCGTCCTGCCTCAGTTGCACTTCGCCAGCCTATGGGTCATGCACCATTGTTAATGTTTCTAGATAGAAATGATCGGAGGATTTTGGGAGCAGCATGTCTACAAGGCTGCCAATAGTGTGAGAACAGGAAGTGAAGATAGGCACAGCCAAGCATGAGAGGCACATCGGACGTAAAACAAAAACAAAAAAAGTCTTGCTAAAGTCTTGCGTAGGACTAGCACCATTAACTGCAGGAAGCTGAGGTATATGTAGATGGGGGAATATGAACATTTATGAAGTGTCCGGAATGCCGTGAGGATTACGCTGGGAACTCATATCTCATAACTCAATTTGTAAACTTGTAACAAAAAATTAAAATTTACTTTTGCTGTTTAAGAAGTGCCATGGCCCGATTTGCAGGAAGCACTGCATTAGTAGCATCAAACGCCATTCCTTTGGTGTACGCCTCGATAGCTTTGTCATATTCACCCTTCTTCAGAAATTCATTTCCCTGAAACACACACAAACGAAAGGTGTATTGAATGCATTTCAAATTAAAAGAAGTGTATTTATTGTAACTGTCATACCAAATTACTGAGTTGTCACACTATCAAAATGTATACTAGCAACAAGTTGCAGCCACAAGTTGGAACATTTCGAAACATTAAACAAGGTGTTAGACAGGAATGTGTACTATCAACCGATTTACACGATTTTACAAAATTCAAAAATTATTTGGAAGCCGTAGAGATGTGATTTTTTAGGCGAATTATGAAAATACCTTGGACAGATAAAAATAGCAATGAAGATGTCTTGAAAGAAACTGACTCATGACTGATTGCCCACATCAGAAAGAGACATCATGTGATGAGAGGGAGACAACTGGAGTACATTCTGACAGCAGGAAAACTGGAGGAGAGGCAGCTGGAGACCAACTGGAAGGATGCTGGACAGTCTGACATCATGGCATGGAGGATCATCTGTATCACAGTTGACTGAAAATAAACGAGACAGGCGGCTGTGGATAGACAGGACTACCAACGCCACACAGCAAGAACTTTGAGAAGAAGTCAAACTGTATGCAGCCCAATTTTATTCACATAATTTGCTTATCTTGTGTGGGTTTTTAGACCCCATTTCGAGGGGAGGGGAGAATACTTCCCCTTAACAAGCATGCCGTATAAGTCACTGCTGAAATTAAAGGTGTTTGGTCAAAAGTCACAGATATCACAGCCTAGCTGAAAACACAATATGCCCTCTTTCCTTTTGAGGGTGAATCCTTAAGAAGAAGAAGAAGAACATGCTTATCCAGTCCAGCATACATCACTGTATGTTAAGTTATCCCAATTGACGTCTTTGCACACAGGGCATCCACAAGTGTGCTCAGTCCTGCGATGCAGTAGCTACCTCTACCGATTTTTCCTATGAGTAGTTGTTTATAGTATCTCCTGTCTTTACCTCGAAGACGGCATAGACATGCTTCACCAAGCTTAACTCCTTGGTCACGTAGTCGTGTTAGCGTCAGAGATTTGCCGTCACCCCCAGCCTGGTCCATACAGCGGTGATGATATCAAGCTCTGTCCACGCTTCTTCCCATTTGCATTGGTACATTAGCTCTTTCATTACCATTTACTCTTGCGTGCCCAGGTATGTAGATCCAGATGATGGAGGTTAACTGCGACTTTCCAATGCTTTCTACCCATTCGTCACTGTATGTTTTCAAGTGCAATCGACATAATTTACATTACAAAATGATGAAGCACACACAAAATCTTCTTCTTCTCAGCATTCATCGGCCGTAAACTACTGTAAAGTTGTGGTTGTTCACCCACTTCTGGACTTTAGTCTTATTTCAGAAACTTGGGTTTTGCGTGCACATCCATTTTACAGATCTGGCTTACTGGTATGCACACTGCTGGTTCCTTACCTTTAAGCAGATGTGCTGTGACTTCGGAGGAAAAATATCTAATTAGTTGCCTTTTACAACATGTGTCAGTGAGGCAGTCGGTCTATTCTGCCCCACCCCAATGTGGGCCCCCAGATTCCACATGGGGTACATATAAAATGAATTATTTGACTGAAGTTAACAAATCATAGCCCACAGTTACATTTTACACCTCAACAAGAAAAGTCTTAGATAAAAACATGATCCTTTTGTTTACATAAGGGGGGAATAATCTATCATTATTCATAACTATTATAATAATTACCAGGTCCTTTTCCACATTTGCCAAATGTTTCTTTCGCTCCATCTCCCATTCCTCATCTGTTTCATACTCTGAGGATGAGGTCTTGTCTTCCTTCTCCTTCTTGTCAATTTCTTCTAAAGCTTTATCCTACAAGATGAACAACAAGAACATTTACAGGAGAAGAAATCACGCACGTTAAAACTGTTGTTTGAACCCCTACATATCGCACTGCTCGCTCCTGCGTGGAATTGTGAATCAGAGACCAAGGTCGACGTAGTGCCACCAGAACAGACAAGCAACACAAACTGATTATGCAGGATGTGCAAGATATAGGTGCTGATGCTCTGTCATCATCATGCAATCTTGCAGTGCATAAATATTTATCTCACAGAAATGTGATCACAGCAGAGACTTTGGCCAATCCACATTTCCTTACTCAGAGCAGTGCCTGTCTTCTCCTTCTTCATCCATTTCTGGACTTTGGTCTTGTTCCAGAACTTGAATTTTCTGCATGCATACCCGTTTTACAGGATACAGTGGAAAGTAGAAAAACACTATGAATCCAATGTGACACAATGGCACAACATGATGATGAATAAATGACTAAAGCCACAGACACATCAACTGAAAAAAAAAATACATTTAATGCTAAAAATCTGCCCATGTGCTACCAGGGCCCTCACGAAAAGCAAAGAATAAAAACACTGCATCCTACCAGGCATGTCATAAGAGGAGACTAAGGGTAGGGTTGGGCTTTGGGGGGTCAAAAACAATTAAAACTAATACTAAAATTTTTTATTCTAATGTCAAATCAGCACTGTTGTAAGGAGCAGAACCATTGAGGATAACTAAAGCAATAACTAATAAACTACAAACATTCATTGAATCACTAATGTAGAGCTTTGGGAAAGAACTAAACAAGTACCAGTGGACCAAGAGGTGAAGAAAAGATGCTGGCTTTTGATAGGACACACACTGAGAAAACGAGAGAACAATATATCTAGAATGTCTTTGCACTGGAACCCACAGGGGCATAGAAATTAAGGAAGACCAAAAAACATATGGAGAAGGGAGTTTAAAAGATGGGGGGAGGGGGGGGGGGCATGAGGAGAGCTGCATGAGAAGGATAAAATGACCTGGCATGAGTTGACTGAAAGCGCATGCTCCATTGGGGGTTAGAAGGCAAAAGAAAAGAGAATGCTACAAATCAGTGTGATATTATAATTTTACACTCATTAAAGGCATAAATTTATCACTCATTCCTCCCCAGTTCTTCTTCTTTCCATTATTTTTCCCCCTCTCAACTTCTCTCTTTCTCTGTATATGTGCTAAGCTCCTTTTTAAAATAATCCCTGAAGAGAAAAAAACCGGAATATTCTGTGACAACTAGAAAGACATTACATCAAAGAAAGACAAACAAAGTAAGACAACAAGCAAAGATTCTTGACAGCCTTTTCTTATAGTATGGAAGGGAGTGGGCAAACAAACTGGTATGTTCTGTTGGAGATCACAAGATCTGGAGAAGTGTGGCCACCCATGCCAGTTGACAAGACACGTGATGATGATCTACATAATCCATCTACCTTTATAATTTAGCATCCCACATTGCTGCCTCAGAACAACAATTGCTTATGCAACTGGCTCTGCAGACTGTTTCCATTTTTCACAAGGGACAGAATGGACATTCTGTATGGTTTTTGCTGGCACAGGAGCAGAGCAATTATGGCGTTACTTGTTTGCCATGAGGTTGGAACTGTAATTAACTGGCTGCCTCACATCTCTGATGTTACGAGGGCGGCTGACTTTGTTGCTGTTATTTTCTTGACATTCTCAATTGTTTGCCAACACCTTCTGGTAGCTACACATTATCAGTTATGCCCTAGCTGCACAAGCAAACAAAATAGGAACACACAACATAAAACAAAACAGGTGTTTAACAGGTGAGAAAATCCATTTGTTTGCACCAGACTGTGTCCACAGGAGTGGCTGGCTGCAGGAGGACAGCGGCACAGAATGCACAGTCCATAACATTAGGAACAATTCCCAGTAATTCCAGTAATCTCCACACACAACACAGAATGCACAGTCCATACCTTTAGGAACAATTCCCAGTAATTCCAGTAATCTCCACACACAACACAGAATGCACAGTCCATAACTTTAGGAACAATTCCCAGTAATTCCAGTAATCTCCACACACAACACAGAATGCACAAAGTCCGTAACTTTAGGAACAATTCCCAGTAATTCCAGTAATCTCCACACACAACACAGAATGCACAGTCCATAACTTTAGGAACAATTCCCAGTAATTCCAGTAATCTCCACACACAACACAGAATGCACAGTCCATAACTTTAGGAACAATTTCCAGTAATCCCCACACACAACACAGTATGCACAGTCCATAACTTTAGGAACAATTCCCAGTAATTCCAGTAATTTCCACACACAACACAGAATGCACAGTACATAACTTTAGGAACAATTCCCAGTAATTCCAGTAATCTCCACACACAACACAGAATGCACAAAGTCCGTAACTTTAGGAACAATTCCCAGTAATTCCAGTAATTTCCACACACAACACAGAATGCACAGTCCATACCTTTAGGAACAATTCCCAGTAATTCCAGTAATTTCCACACACAACACAGAATGCACAGTCCATACCTTTAGGAACAATTCCCAGTAATTCCAGTAATCTCCAGACACAACACAGAATGCACAGTCCATAACTTTAGGAACAATTTCCAGTAATCCCCACACACAACACAGTATGCACAGTCCATAACTTTAGGAACAATTCCCAGTAATTCCAGTAATTTCCACACACAACACAGAATGCACAAAGTCCGTAACTTTAGGAACAATTCCCAGTAATTCCAGTAATCTCCAGACACAACACAGAATGCACAGTCCATAACTATAGGAACACAAAACATTCAGAGCACAAGGCTTACACAGATGGCAAACCACTGAGGCTATAGAAACACTAAGATAAGTCACATATTGACTGTCACTCAAAAAAAGAAGTAGAAAGAAAAAAAAACACAAAAGACAATATAAAAAATCAAAAGCTATAGTTATCAGGCCAGTCATCAACATATCCAAATGATGAAAGCACCTCACCGCAGGAACATAAACCATAGCTTTATTATACTGTTATGTCCCAAGTGCGTTCCGTCACCCCATTCAGGACGGTGGGGTGGAAATAGACCCATTGCCACCCTAACAAGCATGTTGTACGAGGCGGCTAATTAGGGGAGTTTGCCTTCAAAGTCGCAGTGCATCTGCCTGACAGGTGAGGAACCAACAGTCAGTATAAAAATAAGCCAGGTCTGTGGAAACGGACGTGCGTGCAAAACCCAAGTTCTGGAGCAAGACCAAATTCTAGACACTTGATGAACAACCAGAACTTTCCGCGACAGTTTACAGCTGGTGAACATTAAGAAAGAAGAAGAAGAGATTGTTGTGTTGTAAAATGTGCCCTTCCCGTGTAGATTCCAAGGTCCTGTGGTGGGGAAAACAAGAACAGACCCACTGTCTCCCCAACAAGCATGTCATAGCAGTCGGACTAATTGGGAGCTTCCTTGCAAGTTGGAGTGCATCTGCCTGAGCTGCAAGGAACAACCAACTGCACACAAACAAGCCAGTAAAATGGATGTATAAGCAAAATTCAGGCCTGGGTAAAAAGCCAGAGTCTAAATGGGCGAAAAATCATGACTTTCCACAGGAGCTTACAGACGGTGAACCAAGAAGGAGATGTAAAGTGTGCCCTCCTGTCTCTCTACTTCTTTCTACGATTTCTGAAGAAAACATGTAAATTTATTTATCTGAGCACGAGGCAAATGCCTTCAAATCTTCACTATGGAGACCACCACTTACCACATCAAACTTGTCCCAAGCTTTAAAGTCAAAACCACTAATCCTTCTAGGCTTGTTTGATTCCGCATCTTTTAGTTCTTTCTTCTTCTTTTTCATTTTCTTTTTCTGGATAGTGTTGCGAACTGGAGGTAACTCCTCGATCTAAACATATAAGAGCAAAATGTGATTCAACAAAAGGTATAAGTTTAATTAATTGTCTAAATATCCAACAGTAAAAACATATGGTCAAAAATATTTTGACAAATGTTTTAATAGTTTATTAACATTAAATATGCCAACTGATGGAAATGTTCTCACTCTTTCAGTCATAAGCAATGCATGAAGTCCTCTTTTACTTTTTATGGTTGATAAGAGTTTCTTCTTCTTCTTCACTTCCTCTTTAACCAATTCTGATTTGAGGAAAATAACATTTTCTGCTTCCTGCACTAGTGGCCACCTCAACCAGATATGCATCGTGCTGCTAAAAAGCTTTTCTGATGTTGTCTTTTATCTTATTTTTGGTCCACAACTTGTTCTACATCTATCTCTTCTTTATTAGTGCATGTCTTGTACAGTATGGTGTCGCACCTAACCTTTCCACCTGCCGATCTCTGGTCACAGGCTTCATCCATTAAGGGCCATAAACTGGGATGTCGGCTCCAAGTTTCTTAGGTTTTCCCAAAGTTTAGTTGTTAAGTCTAATGGGTGTGGCCACATGTTGCTTTGCGGCTCCTCCAGGTGAGGACAGTCTTGCAAGACATTTTCTATGGTCATTTAGCACAAAGACACTGGCAGAGAGGTGTTGGCACATACGCAATTTATATGAGCATTTGCTTAGTCTAAATGGTGACACGGTCTGTTCTGTTAAGTTGATTGAGGTAAATCTTGTTCATGGTTATAACCAGCGTCAGTTTTCCAATCTGTTTCTGATTTGTCTCTTTTTGAGTGTTTTGACCTCTTAAAAAGACTTCAGAGTTCAGAAGAAAAAAATGCTAAGAGAAAAGATACCATTGTGAGATATTCATTCTCCCTAAAAATGTATAATATAAAGTATTTCATGATTTTTTTTTTCTTTAATAACAGCAAAAAGTAAACTTTTTTTCATATATTAAATATTCTTTTTGCTCATTTCAAAAACATTATCAGGAAAAAGTCTCATCTGAAATGTATTTTTATCAGGCCTGATGAAAAACTTTAAAACAAACAAAAATAACCAACAACTGTCCCCTTCCTCTCTAAAAATATAATATGAGCCTTATAATGCCATTCAGCACAACAGTATCTTCTCATGTCTATGCTGTCATTGCATGTTCCAGTACAGCAATGGGAGCCATTCTTCCTGGATATGAGGACCACTATTCATTTCAGAAATCATTGGCAGCCTACACAACTTTAGAGACAGTAAAGTAAAAGAAAGGGATGCTTTTCCACACATTCAGACACATTGGTATATAGGGCTAGATTTATATTTTATAGACCAAATGGCATTAGGTGGGTAATGAGGTCAGCATCACACCGGCCCCCTTCACTTCCCAGGTCTGTACCTGGTACCCACTAAAGGCTGGGTCAACCACTTTAGAGACAGTGAGTGAGTAAAACTGAACCCAACCAGGATCGCATACTGAGTGATTAACACCCTGTGACGCAAAGTGCAGTGTGTCATAACTCAGATAAGAATCCCCCAAGTACAAATCCCAGTACGCCCCTGACGGTTACAAAATAACCTGAAGTCCAGACGTGGTAGGGTGAATGTCGTGGCTTAGAAAGATAGACTGAAAAGAGGTCCTAAATAAATGAAAGAATAAAGATACAGACCAATCACAGGCTACCTCTCAGGGCTTGTTGGTCAACTAGTAGATTGTAGCCAACATACTGTTCACCACTGCTGTATAGTATGAACCCGTACCTGAGCAGTTTTACCAGTCCTCAGCTGCTCCTCTTTTTCTTTGATGTCAGACTCCCAGCTGTCGAGATCTGCCAGATAATCTCGCAGTTCAACCTGGTTCTGCTGCATCTGCACTCGCAAGTCAACCATTTTCTCTTCGTGCTTGGAAATAGGCATTGTCTGCTGCTTCTACTAGTGTCGTTATCTGTTGAACAAATTAACAAAAGAATGTATGTTATAAATATGATGCTCCCTGTGTGGGTTCCTGGGTCCCATTGTGGAGAAAGCAAGAATAGACCCAGTTCCTTCCAACTGTCAGAGGCTAGTTCGGCTATGGAATGAATAGGTGTGATGATAGTGAATCATCACGTACGAACGAATTGACCCTTAGTCAAACTCAGAGCGAGATCGGGCAGTTTGACCATGGAATAAACTGTGTCGACTGAACTGGGCTTTGCCCTAGGCCTCACTAGTAACACGAGTTACAGCGTGTCAGAGATGAACGCTGGGGAGGGACAAAAGGCTTGGAGAGAGCTTGCTCGGGAGTTGTGTAGGAGGAGACTGGACTGGACGGCGACGGGTAAAACTTATCTTAGTTTAGCGACGGTTAGATCGAATAGTGTTTGTGGTTAGTGTTTAAGATAGTTTATGTTTCCATACAGTGTGTTGACGAGATAGTGTAGCGTTAATTTTTCTTGTATAGTAGATGTTCCACACAGTATCTGTTAACTCTACCAGAGCGCTGGCCCGCTATTATGGGAATTTCCTAACTTGCCGCTAAACCGCTGTTTCTCAATATCGGGAATTTGTGTACTATAGGAAAACAATGCGTCACAAACTAAAAATAACTAGCCAATCGTAATCAGATCTCATGAATAGTCTTCTCAGATGTCCGCCCGCACATGTTTGGATTAAATTTGTCTTGATTTACGTGAAAAAATTATGAAAATTCACAATAAAACGAGCGGCTGATGAACCAAGCCCTTCGACAAGAAAGTGAAGTAGGTCTAGGCTTTTCACGATCCAACATGTGATCAATACTTTGGTTGATTCAGACTCTGTGGAGTCATAATTTCATGAAGAATATGTTCCCAGTTGAAGTGACACAGTCATTGAGAGCTGGAATGATGAGGAGAATCTTGAAAATTATAAATCTAGAAATAGATCGAAAGTAGGAGAGGGGGGCATGTCCCTCAAACAGCAACATCTGGTGCTCACTTTACGAAACACGGCTGATCCTGCTGGGTGGATTAGCACACAAAGGTGGAATATTGGCGCTAGATAAAAGGTAAACCTATTTTCTACAATGTCTCCAAGTTTCATTTTATTCTAGCAACTTGTTTGTATGTAACTAATATTTTTGCATATCATGTTGGTTTTTTCGCCTTAATGCCTAGGAGCTCAGGTATAGGAGGTAGTTTGGTTCAGGGCCTGAGGTCTGGTAAGGTTAAGCAGCTAGTTAATGTGTGATACGCATTGTCGATGGCCTTAACACTGCCCACTCATACTTGGACCTTCACCTTACGTGTGTCACTGAGTCCCGCGTGGCATAGACGGTGGCTTATTTAGCGCTGTACGACTGTGAATCTGGAATCGTGTCTTTGGTATTTCCATGGGAACGGCTCGGGTTAAATAGTGAATGTAAAAGCTATATCAACACCGGCGTTTCGGATAAGGACGGCCAACTTCGTTGAGGAGCTATAAGTTGAATTGTTCTTTGTACATTAAAGATTATGTGTGTACTCAGTTGCGTGTTTTAAGTGTGTTGTAGGGTAGTTAAGTCTGTTAGCTGGCCTACCTAACGAGCCATAGGAAGTAGATAAATAAAGTAGGTCCCTGATACCAACACAGGTATGTCGTAAGAGTCTACTAACTGGGAGTTTTCGAAGTCGGAGCGCATCTGCCTGAGAGGCAAGGAACCAACAGTCTGCATGCAAAGTCAGATCTGTAGAATTGATGTGCATGCAACAATCAGGTTCTGGAATAAATCTAAAGTCTAGAGGTGGATGAACAACCAGAACTTTCTATCAGAGTTTACAGCCGGTGAATGAAGAAGAAAAATATGATTTATCAAACTTTTCAGTTCCAGACTCACACAGCTTGTTTAGAAGCACAAGTGTTCTCCGTGTAGAGTGGCAAGCATCCTTTCAGAGGTTTCAGTTAGTTAGTGAACTTTGGATATTTTCGGCCAGCTATGCCGGTGTGTCAGGAAATGAACCGGCAAATAGAACAAATGGTTCTACACCATCTGGTAGCATTCGAAAGTAGATGTTGTAAGAAGCAAGTAAACAGTTTGGAGGCACAAACTGATTATCAAGAGATGAAAAAAATAGTGCAGTGAGGAGTGAGCAACGAGGAGTGGCCAGCGGATCTGAGTGACGCTCAACATTCAGGGGACGGGCAAAACAAATAATCAGACTGTTACTGGTACTGCGGGAAGACATGGACGGAACACTTATGGGAGTGTCCTGAGTGCAAATGATGTTGGTTCTTAACTCATAATTCATTCAGTACCAGGTAAATCACTCTGTGTATGTTGATTTCAACCAACAGAACAGCAATGGACTCCAGAACTTGGTAACAGCCGACAAGACTGATGGAAAAAGAGCAATGAGAAGGCAAAGAAATACCTCGATGGCTTAGCCATCAGGATAGGGGTGAGGCAAGAACCTTGACTTGATCTGTAATTGTGGTCATTGTGTTAGATGGCAAATCATGACAGCCTTAACTTATCAATTTGGCACACGGTGATGATGATATACATTTCTAAACTCTGTGATTTTTTCCATTAGTATCCCCAACCACTATGACTCAGCTGGAACAGAAAGCAGTTCACTTATTGAAAATGACAGACTCAGTGAGCATTCTTGAGAAGATCCCAAGTGGCAAACTCTGACTAGAATGTGTTGACAGCATCTAGAAGTCCCGCCTCAAGAAACTATCTTGGCGAGATATGCCAGAGTGAAAGGAAATAAAAGAGCTGACAGACTGACCATGTCTGGAGTGTTTAGTGAAGTAAGAAGTATGGACAGAGCAAACATACTGAATGTACTACATTCCAAAGAAGGTGAACCACCTGCTGAAAATGGGTATTAATCAAGGACAAGCATGCAGTAACCGGCTGTTGAGCAAAGAAATATGCCAGTCAACTTCTGCTTGGTACACAGAGCATGGAGATGCAGAGATGGCTGGTTCATTGGAGAATTCACCATGGATGGGTCAGAGCAATGCGCTAGGATTATATGAACAAGTAACCCAGTTTGCTACTTTAACTCCTTCTGTTGTCTAGTGTTGGTATTTTTAACTCATCAGACCCCAAAATGTGAAACTTAAAAGTTAAGATTTCCAAAAATCATTATCATCAAGTGCCTTGCTGACTGGTGTGAGCGATCATGCCTCTTCACAATCTGCGATCTTCAACACCATAAACTGCTGACACCCCTCCAGGCCATGACAAAAGGCTGTTAAGAATTTTCTCGCATTCTCTCCTTTGTAATTTTTTTCCAAAGATCTTTCCAGTCTTCATAAAATGTTCTAGTTTCCTTCTTCTTTCAATAAAACCCCATAGAAAATGATGACTGATTCCAAAATTTGTGGCAAACTGTCTTCAAGCCCTCACCTCTTTCAAAACATCCTTTCAAGGAATTGTAAGGATTCTTCTGTAAAAACACATCTCTGAGGTATCAAAAATTTGGCTATCCTCAGAATAATTGGCACATATTATGGCGGCCGCAAAAACACCCTAACAGAGCCTGAGTCAGGTGTCAATTGCCCACTTCCGGCGACCTAATTTGCAAACTTCCGGCGACTACCGTGATAGCCGAGAGTATCCCCCGCGAGGCCTGGATTGGAGCTAAACTAGATGGCTGGGACTCACAAGCAGCTGCTTCCGCATCTCCTGCAGCTTTGCATGTGAGTCCCAGCCATCTAGTTTAGCCCCAATCCATGCCGCGTTAGCTCACGAAATACTGGAGTCCCCGAGATGGGGTGAACGAAAAGAAAAGCGCCAAATTATTTACTTGTGACAATAATATTATGGCTGCCTAAAACACACCCTGACAGGGCCCAATTAGGTCGTGTGTTGGAAACATTTAAAAACTTGAACTCGAAAACAATGAGAAACGAAGAAAAGGAAAATGATGAAATCAACTACTTAGCGATAATTGAGGCCTTTAAATCTTAAAATTGTGGCACAAAAGTTGCAAATAGTGCCCGAAAATCTGCTCTTTGTGGCTGTGGCGCCATTGAAACTCTGCTAAATATGATCGGTGCCGCATTGGTAGCGCAGTTTTCACCATCGAGAATATCTTCCACACCGCTACGCAGGGATGGGGGGGCTAAACTAGATGGCTGGGACTCACGAGCAAATAAATTGGAGGAAGTTGCAGTAGATGCGGTAGAAGCCATCTAGTTTCACCCCCCCCCCCCCCTATTCTGCGTAGCAGTGTGGGAGATACGCTCGGCGGTGAGTTTAATCAAAAGAACACTATCGCTAACCTGCATCGGAACGTGCGGTCTTCCCGCCTTGTGGCTATTAAAGTGTGTATTGTTGCGTTTCTCAAAATTGTCAACGGACAGTAATCCTATGTGTTCGTCGGAGAAAGTCCGCAATTTAAATGTGATTGAGGCCCTGTCAGGGTGTGTTTTTGGCCGGAGTAATATGTGTCCGTTATTCGGAGGATCGACTATCTTCCGAATAACGGTCCCAAATTTTTGAGGCAGAAAATATACCTTAACAGGGCCTCAGTCACGTGTCAATTGTGCACTTATGGCGACTTAAAGTGCAAGTCACGTGTCAATTGCGCACTTATGGTGACTTAAATTGCGCACTCGAGCAGCATGGGGGATACTCTCGGCGGTGGCGGTATAGTCAACGGAAATTCGCAATTCGGCGGTAGCGGTATAGTCCCCGGAAGTGCGCAATTGACACGTGACTGAGGCCCTGTTAGGATATATTTTCTGCCTCTATAATTTGGGACCGTTATTCGGAAGATAGCCAGAGGATCTACGCCTGAGATTGGAAAGGGGGTGGGGGGGATGTGAGAATATCCTGCTGTTGTCCCTATCTTCAGCGCATGGCTCCCATCTTCAGCAGCATGCGCAGAGTTTCCAATCCGATGGTACATCAGTGACAGTATGACTGAATGTCTGACGGGGCTGGTTACTCTTCGGCTTCG